AGGAGAGAGGGCTCAGATCCAGGAGGTTTGTGCTGTGTGGCTCACTCTTAACTCCAGCTCCAGGGGACCTGACACCTCTTCTGGCCTCCGCAGGCTTCTGCACATATGTGGGGTACGCATAAACACTCACATATACATACACATAAACAAAAATAAATTGTCTGGCTATAAAAATAAATCTTAAAAAGAAAATAAAGTATAAATGGTAAGAGACTTTAAAAAAAAAAAAATCTAAGGCAGAGCCAGGCAGATCTCTGTGAGTTCGAGGCCAGCCTGATCTACAAAGCAAGGTCCAGGACAGGTACCAAAACTACACAGAGAAACACTGTCTCAAAAAAACAAAGAAACAAAAAAGCTGGGCGGTGGCGGACGCCTTTAATCCCAGCACTTGGGAGGCAGAGGCAGGCAGATCTCTGTGAGTTCGAGGTCAGCCTAGTCTACAGAGCAAGTTCCAAGACAGCCTGGGCCACACACAGAGAGAGAGGGAAATCTATCACAATTTATAGATCATATTTGGATCTTGAGTCAAGTAAACAAGCCACATTTTTAAATTTTGGGAGCTGGATAGCCAGGTGGTGGTGGTGCACACCTTTAATCCCAACACTGTAGAGGCAGAGCAAGCAGATCTCTGAGTTAGAGGCCTGGTCTACAGGGTGACTTCCAGGACAGCCAGGGCTACACAGAGAAACCCTGTCTGAAAAAAAAAAGAGGGGTGGGGATTTGGGGAGATGGCTTAATCAATAAATGCACAGCCAATCTAGCCAATCAATGAGCTCCAGGTTCAGTGAGAGCTCCATCTCAAAAAAAAAAAAAAACAAAAAAACAAGATGGGAGGGAAAAAAAACAAGCAGGAAGGCTGGGCATAGTAGTCCTAGCATATGGAAAGGAAAAGCTGACAGACTCTGTGAGTTCAAGCTCAACCTAGTTTAAATGGTGAGTTCTAGGCCAGCCAGGACAGCACAGTAAAAAGAAAGAAAAAAATGGGGGGAAGATGGTTAAACAATTGAGGAAGAAGCAGAACATCAACCTCTGACCTATGACATGCACGCACACACATGCACACACACACACACACGAGCACACACACACATGAGCACACACACACATGAGCACACACACACATGCACACACACACATGAGCACGCACACACACATGAGCACACACACACACAATTGCACACGCACACACATGCATACACACATACATAAGTGTGTACACACACACCAAAAATTCTTTATGATATCTGTGACACTATTAGACTAACTGAAGTCTGAGCTGTGAATGGTGTGGCACACGCCTGTCACCCCAACACTTGAAAGACAGCGGAAAGAGAATAGTAGTTTTGAAGCCAGGCTGAGTTACACAGCAAAACCTGTTTCAAACAATTCAATTAAAATAAGGGAGCTGGAGAGATGGCTCAGTGGTACAGTACTTAACTGCTCTTACAGAGGCTCTGAGTTCAGTCGCCAGCACCCACATGGAGGCTCACATTATCTATAACTCCAGTTCCAGGGGATCCAGTGCCCACGTCTGGACTCCTCAGGCACCCTCTGAAACTGTAAGCAAGCCCCCAAATTAAATGCTTTCTTTTATCATTTCCATGGCCATGGTGTCTCCTCACAACAACAGAACAATGACTGAGCTAATGAGCATAAGAACGTTTCTCAGAACTGAAGAAAATAACTGAGATTTTCGGGCTGCAGTGGTCCACTGGGCTTCCAGTTCAACACAGAGACCATGGGAGCTCAATGTGGAATATGTGAGCACCAGGGGCTGGCCAGGTGGTTGAGCAGGTAAAGGTGTTGGCTGCCAAGCCTGAGGATGGCCTGTGCTCTCTCCCTGGAAGGGAAGGAGGGAGGAGACTCCTGTAAATTGCCCTCTGACCCCTCACACAAAATAAGCAAACAATCAAACAAATACATAATTCAAACATTTAGAACACAGTGAGAGAAAACAAGTTACATCCGAAGGGTTAGGTGCCCTAACAGCTTATCACATTTCCAAAGCAGCTCTGGAATACAGGCAACAGAGTGAGTCTTGCCTGGCGGTGGTGGCGCACGCCTTTAATCCCAGCACTGGGATGTGTGTGTGTGCGGTGGCTGGTGAGGTGGCTCAGGAGGTAAACCTGACAATGGCAGAAGGAAATCAGGTCCCCAAAGTTGTCCCCCAACCTTCACACATGCCATGGCACCCACGCACCCACACACGTATTCACAGAAAACAAATAAATAAAAATTAATTTTTTAAAAGTTACTAGGGGTGGGGAGTGTGGCTCAGTGTTAGGGCCCTTGCCTGGCACATGTGAGGCCCTGGGTTTGATTCTCAGAACTAAGAAGAAAGAGCCTACCTGCTAACGCTCACACAGAGGTTAGGGATAACACACTGGAAAGGAAGGGAAGGAACGGAAAGCCGATTTGCACAATTTGCTAGTTTCCAAGGTGCACACTACCTTTAAAAATGATTTCAAGCTACCAATGTTACGACACTGAGCACGAGTTTGAAAAGAGATGTGCAAGAGAAAGCTGGGAGTGTGGTGCACACCTGTAATCCAGGCACTTGGGATAGAAGTGGGAGATGAGTTTGAGGCCAGCCTTGGATGGGAGTGTGGTTCAGCACCAATGCAGGAGATGTCTTTGATTTTGTATTTATTTACCCATTCTGATATCTTTGAGACAGAATCTTGCTGTGTAGCCCGGGCTTGCCTTGAATTTGCATTGATCCCCCTGCCTCGGCTTCCTCTGGAGTACCGATATTACAGGCGTGCACCACCTACACTCGGCCTATTGGAGTTTTTAGATGTGTACACATATAATTCAGATGAAAAAAAAACTACAGGAAAATATGCAGGTGAAAAGCTAGACATGGTGGCACAGGCCTGCAATCTAGGCCTTTGGGAGGTGGAGGCAGGTTATCAGGAGTTCAAGGCCAGCCTGGGGTACTGGAGACCCAGCCTGAAAACAATAAAATGTGGTGAAGCTGCCCCAGACTGCTTGGCAGCCAGCCCACGTGCTCCTAATCCTTTGCTGATACAGCCAGGTATTGGGTGCTCACTTAGCACTGGAAAGAAGTGGTCCTTGGCAACTGTTCTGAATGTAGGACGGTATTGAACATCTGTGGCATATGGGCTGGTGTGTGGGCATGCGCCATGCCACGATGGTGCTTTCACATGCATTCCGGGAGGTTCTGGGAGGAGTAGGTGCTACTCACGCTGCCTGGCCTTGGGTTGGCCTCCGGGCCCCTGTAAGTGGTCCATCGGGAAGTTTCCTTGTTCAGCTCCTTGAACTTTCCTTTGAAGACTCGCTCAATGTCCGTGAGGGAGAAGGCACAGACCGCCGAGCTCCTGGTCTCACCGACCTGCCTGAAGACAGCCACGAGGACACTCACTGTGGCTTCCTCTCCTCCACAGCCACTGCCCCTCCAGCCCAGGCAGAAGCTCAGCGGAATCCCAGCAGGCCTGGAGGGCAGGGGCAGGCCAGCCTCTGGAGGTTTGTTTTCCCTCGCTCATGATAAGGACCTGGGAGCCCCACGGGGTTCCCTGGCTCTGGACTGAGGCCTGGCTAGAAGCCCATCACAGGATCTGAAATATGATTGTTCCTAATGAGGATTAATTGGGGCATAGGCCCTGGGGTGGCCCCTGCCTGTCCTGCCGGGGCTGGGCTGTGCCCACAGGAAGAGTGGTAGAACCTGCTTCAGGCTGGATTTACATGTAGCCTTCTTTAAGGCCCTTGGATTCTTGGTTCTCAGAGAGTGAACCACAGCTTTGTTATTTCTTCTGTCTTGGTCTCTCAGACTCTCTTTAACACACTGGGGTCTCAGTTCTGCATTTCATTGCATACCAGGAACCTTTTCTTCCTGGCACATTGTTAGCAGATGCCTAAACATGGTGATGCCAGACCATTAGCAAATCAGTTAACCTTTCCTGGTCTGTAAGCAAGGATTTCCTATTTTTTCAGTCACAGTGGCCTTGGCCCTGGCCATTAGGAATCGGGAGGAGCTAAATCTGTGGCTAGCATTACAACAGCAGCCTTTGTGCTATACAGATCTCCCCCTACCTGCTGGTAATTTCTCTTTACTTCCATTTCCTGACCTAATGGGTGGATTGTTTGTTTGTTTGTTTGTGACAGTCTCTGGTAGCCAAGGCTGTCCTCAGTACGTAGCTGAGAATGACCTTGAGTGTCTGATCCTCCGGTCTTTTCTTCTCATGGGTCCCTTGTACCACCAACACTGATTTATGGGATGCTGGGGATCCAACCTAGGGCTTTGTACGCGCTAGGCAAGCCCTATACTGACTGAGCTGCATCGCCAGCCCTTGTTTGTGTTTGAGACATTAGTCCTCGAACCGATCCGCCTTCCTCATCACCACGTCTAGCTTTGCTTTATCGACGTTTTTGTCTTGTTTAAGACAAGCTCTCTCTGCGTAGTCCAGACTGGCTTCCAGTTCTTTATCCTCTTGCCTCTCTACCTTCCAAGGGCTGAGATCACAGGCATGCACCAGTCACGCTGGGTATTTTGCTGATTTTTAGTGTCTACCTTCCGTAAGCTTCCTTCCATCCTTTTTGGAACCAGGCAGAACAAAGCTAGTCTCTGAACTTTGTTTCTCCCTACGCATGAAAGACCGTAGGCTCCCGGCAGTCGAATGCCTTCCTGGGTTAACGTGCCGTGTATAAAGCAGGCTTTCATCGGCTCCCGCCTCCCTGGGATCCCTCCTCTCCCTGCCCTGATGCTCACCACTGGGAGGTGAAGACTGCATAGATGCGGGAAACGGAGGGCAGCAGGACCGCGTGGCGGACGACGTTGAATGGCAGCTGACCTGGCTGGGCGCACAGCAACTGGGCCTTCAGGAAGGTGGTCCACTTCTTCTGCAGCAGCTTTTCGCCGCCCACGTCGTTCTAGGGGCACCCGTGGAGTCATGGGACGGCCTTTTAGCCCGTGGACCCGCCCCACCCACCTCTCCCCACCTCCCATTGGCTCCCTGGCAGCCCAGCCCTCCACCAGACCAAAGGGCAGACCTTGCAGACTCGAGCCACCCTGGATGTGTACAGCTCCTCGAAGAAGTCTAACTCGCTGGCTGTCTCCTCGAAGAAAAAATAGACGACCTGTGTAGATGGAATGGCTGCCACGAAGGAGGCATCCGCTGTGGAGGCAGGACACATAGGTTTAGGGACTGAACATCAGGGTGCTCAGGGTTCCCTTGGTGACGTTAGGTGGGCTCCGAGGACCGGGACAGAAGTCTCCCATCCCACAGCCTGTTGAGACATGTGGACTCGTTCCTTTTTGAGATGGGATCGCACTCTAGCTCTGGCTGGCCTGAAACTCGCTGTGTGAACCAGGCTGGCTTCCCTTCAGAGATCCACCTGCTGCTGCCTCTGCCTCCCAAATGCTGGAATTAAAGTCGTGCGCCACCCCAGCCGGCTTCGTGTACTTCTTTAATTAATTTTTACCAAACAGAGCTGAGTGAATTAAAGCGAATCACAGACCCAGGGTCAGGAAGGGGGCCCGAACCCGTGTTGACTGGAATCAGGGCCTTACGGTGCAGCCAGCGTAGGAAGATATCGGTCTTGAGAACAGGCTGGGATCCCAGCGTGCGCATCAGGATGGGCTCGCTGCCCAGGAAGTTGTTCATGGTGCCAGAGTAGAGCATCCCATCTAGGACCAGGGAGAGGGAGGAGAAGCCGGTGGATCAGGGGAGGCTGCCTGCCCTGCTCAGACATGCCTTCCTTCTACTCTGTACCCTCTCGCAGAATCCCAAAGCCCAGCTCATACTGCCCCCCCCCTCCCGCCACACACACACACACACACACACACACACACACACACACACACACA